TTCTAATGTATGCACTAGATTACTACATTGAAAGTCTTGAACAGTACTTTTTTTTATTATACTATTAGTATGAACACAATAAACACAAGTTTTAATACTAAGAAATCGATTTTTTGAAGTAAAATTAAAATTTTGAGGTTATGTTTGATTTATATAACGCTGTAAGGGTGAAATTAAGATAGGGCAGCAAAAAATACAAAAAAATATATGCTTTGTATGTTTGTATGTATCGTCTGCTATTATAACAAGCTAATTAGTATCATAATATTAGGACTTTTCCATCAGAGCACCAACTTTAAATAGACGGTACACTGTAACATGTAATTCTCATAACTTCTTAATATTTTTCCCATATTCCTATGCCCAAAAGCTTCAATTTCCATTTTGAATCGTGTCAATATCTTATGTCGTTCATGAGATATTAGATTTTGAAAAAAAAAATTCGAAAAAGGTCCACTGTGCGTCGTCATGACGAATCCTGTCTTTTCTCACATCACGTACTTCCAGTTGCCCTTGTAAATAATTTTCTTTACTTGAACTAAACTGTTAATCAAAACTAAATCATATTATAAATAAATAAACCTATATTACTAACCGTACTTAAATCATATTTATTAATGTATCATAATTTGTTTATTCTATCACACAAAGTAAGAAAAAATAAACTTTATTCCATTTTTTATAAGATGTGTTGAACTAAAAAAATTATTCTCATATGCAATTGGTACTTATAATGACAGTTAAAGCATTTTCTCCACTTCATTACCTCTTTCACATTATATTTAGTACATAAAAATTTTTATTTTGATTAGTCGATTTAATTTCATTTAATTCGAAAATTGAGTTTTGTGGTTAGATTTTAACATGAATTTTGTGTACTTTTCCACGCCAGTTTTGAGGCCAATATTTTATCCTTATACTACTTAATGCAGAACCAATAAATACACTATTTATTTTACTTTTAATCAGTCATCTACACAAATTTTTCTGTAAAATAGTACTTTAATTAATGTTTTATGTAAATAAATTCATGCAACAGTTTGGGTATTAAACATATCCTGACAAAAAACATTTTTTTAGAAATTATCGCCATAAATGTATTTCTAAATTAAAAACCACACAAAAAATGTCGTAATTGCCCAAGAATCATAATTGTACTAGCTTTACTCTAAGTTTAATGGACTTAAGTTTTATTCTTAATTAAACTCCTTGCAACTGCAGTATGATTGAGCACTTCATGCACCGTTGCATAAAATAGGCCGAACACATATTATGTAAAATCGTACCACGACCGTAACAGGGACCTCAGTTGAGCATCATTACGGCCAAGTTAAAGTTTTTAATTATAGGCAGCCGTTTAGCGACATTTAGCAGTGCAATCAAGGGAAAAATTGTACATGAGCTGCGGCATTGCTTATTTTCAGTAGATTAACAGTGAGAAAGAGTCAATGCAGTGAACAGTTGTACACACGTGTATACGTGTACATGCAGTATGCTTGTATATATACAGGGACCGACTAGTAGAGTTGACAAAGTGGAAAGCTCATACTCTATCATAGTATGAAAATCTACACTAAAGAGAAGAAAGCCAAGCGTTACTGGGTGTATTTATATCGGCCGTTCTGGAATTGGTTCCCAAAATGATAAAAATAATTAAACTGGTTCCCAGTTCATTAGGATGCATACTGGAATTGGTTCCTGGATATTTGAGATGCATACTAAAATTGGTTCCCAATGAATTAAATTAGCCCAACAGAATTTGCCATCCAAACAGTCAAAAGAAAATTGTGAACTCAAAGTTCTCGCAAAAACAAGCGGACACTGATCTCATCATCATGATAATAATCAATATTATCGTGGTCCAATATTTCATAACAATTCAAAAAAAAGCAGGAAACTTAAGCTTTTGAAGTAAATAGGCGGTCATTGATCTTATAAATAACTTTATAGTTATTGATTGTATTTAAGTGTATTCATAGAAGGAAAATGCGGATCACATTTTATTCTGTGCTCACGACATATCAAGAAGTGTTTACTTTTATTATTTTTAGAAAAAGTTTATGGTCATTTTACTCATTTTATAGAAATTTCTGTTTTATTTCAGTGTATAAAAATACTGGTTTTATTTCAGCACGTGAAGAAGCAGCTATAGTATTTTATCAATGTGTGTGTAATTTTATTGTTGTATAAAATGGAATAACATGTGAGTGAAAGAGGAAAAACGGTCTTGCGTGTCAATAAATACAACTTTGGATTTCAAAAAAATTCGAAAAACGGCTTACAACATTGGACGTGCACGTTCAGATCAAGTAAGTGCTACATAAAAGTTGATGAAGCAAATAATGTTGTTGAAGCATCGAGTCACCAACACGAACACAAACAAATTAACGAAGCCGGTCAAAACCGGTGTAATCTGAGCAATATACTGAAATGTAAGGCAATTGAAAACATCTGAGCTCGTCTCTCTAAACTACTGCGAGAAGAGTTAAAGCAATCGGACGTAAATACATTGGATGTAAAAAACATAAAAAATATTCGAGAGAACATTGGCTATTCTCGTCGCAGTGTACTACCTCGTTAGCCGAAATCTTTATCAGACTTTCACGCAGCCTTACACAACCTCCAACCACATACTAACAATAATGAATTCTTTCTGATTGTCAATAATAGGATTAATCACATAATTGTAATCTCAATCGTTACAAATCTACTACTGCTGTCCGCTATCAACACTGTGTTCGCGGATGGGACATTTTATAGCTACCCTAACTTTCTTTATCGAGTATTTGTAATACATGGTTTACGTGACAATGTGTACATTCCACTAGCATTTTTTTTACTTCCTGACAAATTAGCTTTCCGTATAAATTAGCTTTTTTAACATTATTATTCGAATTCAAAAAAGTTGACGTGGCTTTTAAACCTGTAAATTTTTATATTGACTTTGAACAAAGTATATTTATTGTGATTAAAAAAGTGCTGCCAACAACCAATATAAGAGGGTGTAGATTTCATTTGGGTCAAAGTTAGTGGCGTAAAATCCAGGAACTTAGGTTAGGTCGTGATTACAAGAGGAAAGAGTTGGAAATAGGCCAATTTTAAAAAAATTTCTTTGAATTATCATTTTTACACCCTAGTGTTGACGTCTGTTTTACGGAAAATTTTATGGCTATAATACCAAACGACTCAAGAGTTGAGAACTTTTTCGATTATATGCCTCAGAATTACGTCGCCAGTGACTCAGCATTTCCACTAACAGTTTGGTCCCCATTTTCATCATCGCTAAGTCAAACTACAAAGAACTGTGAATCTTTCCATTCACATTTCAATGAAATTTATTATCGATCGAAACCAAACTTGTTTCTGTTTGTTGAAGTACTCCAGACTACTCAATGTTGAGTGTACATTTAGATGCGCAGTACCAAAGAGAAAACAAAAGAAACAAGGGACAAAGAAGAATTTCTAACAAATAATATGCTACTGCCAAAAAACTGGATTTACATCTTGATTTGAATTCGTACAAATGGTCTCAAAAAAGTTTTTACCAGTTTGAATTTATAAAGAATTCGATAGTTCCATTTTTGCATTCGTGGCCGTCAATATTTTTTTAAACACGCCAGCGTCAAAACAATTGTTAGTCCAAAGCCTGAATGAACTGTGATGGAAAAAATATTAAACATTTTAGTACAAAAGGCACTTCATTACTCATTTATACATATCTTATCTCTTAATTGCGTTTTAATAGCCGGAAACCAAACCAACTAAGCATCCTAATGAGCCAGGAACCTATTCCACAATGTTTATATCTGGAGAAATCTACTGGGAACCAATTCAGGATCACCGTTTATATCTACGTTTGCTATATATTTATAATAGTAGCTACATCAATCTTTAACACTTATACTGTAACACCTAGCGAAATGTAACTAGCTGTTATCATTACAAGGGCCATTGTGACTTTACTACTTAATAAAATTGGAATCAACCATAAAATATAAGAATAGAGCTCGAAAATAAACAATAAATGTACACTATACAAAGAGTACAAAAAAGTCCTTCGAAGATAAGGGACAAAGTGCACATAACTAAACTTTTTTGTCTAATTGAATACCAATATTACACAAATATAAAATAAACATGACCAGATTCAAGCACTTTTTGTCTTGATAGAGAATGACCATGGAATAAAGTTAATAATAAATGTCTCACTTATTTTCGCGAATTAACACAAACCCCTATGGAATCAAAATAACAGGAAGTAACAAGTGCACGTACTAACAATACTAACAATTATTTATTTAAACTTATAGACATTTAAACATCCATGTATTAGCTTAGCTTTGCTTCAGACGACAAACGGACGATTATACTCTTCTTTAGATCTAGCCGTAGTACGTACACGATTTTTCATTTCTCAGCTACCGTAAAGCGGTTGCTTTCTTTCCAGCGACAGATATTCAGTAAATTAAAGAGTGGGATTTAATGAATAAACCCTCAATACTTTTTCATTAAATATTTTTAATTATAATTGTTTTAGTGTGTTAGAAAATTACATGCATGTGAATTAACATCGAATTTGTTTTTTTATACAAAATTGAAAAAGATAGAGAGACCTTAAGTTATCACGTTGTTAGGATTTTAAATGTTAAATTAATAGCATTAATTGAATTGAAAAGCTTCAGTTAGCATTACATAAATAAGATATTAATAACAATTCTCAGGGTTTCTTTGTGAGATCCCTACAGCTAGGGGTGGTTAAAATGTTTTTAGCAATCGCTGGATTTTGGATAACTTTGTTTAATTTTACAGATTTCAACTAAATTTTACAGTAAGACCGTAGTAACGTTTGTTTTTTGTAACTAACATTTCTTTTATTTCCTTTATGGTTGTTAAAAAACTGTAAATTTTTTCAATAAGTTAAGAAATTCATACTAACAAGAAATAACTAAAACTGTTTAAATAATTATCATAATACTATTTAAAAAATTAATAGTAATTACCGCAGCGGGTGGCGAAGTTAAAGGATTATCCAAAAGTTTGAGCTCGACTAAAGTCTTCATTTTTCTCAATTCATTAGGTAAAAATGATATTCTGTTACCACTGATATCTAGTTTAATAAGTTTCAAGTACGTAAGTTCTGTAAATAATGCAAATATATAAATTAATTATACGTACATAAGTATTAGTAATTAGAAACTAGATTTATTGTGTACATTTGACATTCAAATAAGTTTACCTATAGGTATTTGTTCCAAGAAATTACTTCTCAGATCAAGACTTCTTATACGAGGTAAATCACCTATTCGAGATGGTAAACTTGTTATTTCGTTGCACCCGACATCTAATTCCGACAAAATTGACATTCTCCCTAATTCTTCTGGTAATAAAACAAGTCTATTATAGGCAATCAAAAGAGTTTGAAGAGGTAGACGACAAATTTCTCGAGGTAGTTCTGTCAATTGATTGTGGCTGTAAAATAAAATCGTATTTTATTACAACAATATTATCAAATACATTGGTTTTCGCAATTAAAAGTTTGAACTTTTAATGTAATAATACTAAATAACGACTTAACATAAATACAATAAGCTACACAATAATTCAATTAATCTTGTTAAATTTTTGGAAATCGAGAACGATAAAATATTTTAAATCTTGGCTGAGCTCACTTCAATCAATTTTTAACTATACAGAAAGAATAAATAAGAAAAAATTATAGGAACTTTATAAAAAATTTTTGTAAGCAAATGACAAATTCCCGACTCTATTTTAGGCACCATATGTAAAGAATAAGCTATTTAAGGGGATAACGTGCTTACTCTTATTGTACTTGTTTTGCATAAGTGTTGAATAGTGATGAAACTTTATTTTATTCATTTCAGCATTGTAATGTCAAGTCAAGGAAAAGGAAGCCTTAAAAAAATCTTTTTATAAAGAGAAAGAAGACTGAAAAAGTCCAAGGCAAGACACAAAAAAATATACACTGGTAACGGACTTAAATGAAGTCTGTGATGTTACATGTAATTGTCAAGTATTTGTCTTTATCTCATGGACATGATGATAAGAGAAAATTATTCAAGTGAAACATAAAATTCTTTATAGCCTGATTTTATGACATTGTTATTGTGTAGAACACTGAAACTTAAAATAGACTCAGTGATATTTGGAGATGCCGAAAATAAGAAAGTATTATCAAGCATTCATTAAGCAAACATCAACGTTACGTTAAGTAATTAAATAATTACAAATAGAACGGGCAGAAATTACAAATCATTTCATATTAATTTTAAAAAATATGCGAGAAATTATAGCTTTATAAAATGTCAAAGATGTTCTTCAGCACTCGAAAAAGTTTTCCTCACAATTGTGTAACAATTCATTCACAATTATTTTCATTACATAACTTTTTTTTACTTCGTACAAAGCCGATACAATAATTGCGCGTTTGGTCAGCTTCTGCGTCAGGTTAGGTCATCTGCTGCATGCCAGTGACAGCTATAGCTTATCGTTTGCTGAAAGTGAATGAAGGTATATGTTTTTAGACTAGTTAATTTCCGCGTTGAGACAACTTGTTTCGCTGCAACCTTTTGCTGATAAGACTGCTCTTTAAATGAATTACCAACCTGTCATCAAGAAAAGTATTGCTTTTTATATCTTTGCATTACTTTTAGATAATGTGCGTTACCTAGCGTTGCCAGTTCACTTGTTTTGGGACTTTTTTGTAGTTCAAAGTAGCGTATGCACACATTTTTTAAGTGTTAATTAGTGTTATAGTGTGGGTATTACACAGTAAATTACTAAGTGAAACAATGAAGAAAGGCCTTTTGTGGTAAAAGGATTCTTTTTGACAATCTTCCTAACTTGGCAGGTTTTGAAGCAAACGAACATACTCACGTAAGGAGAGAAAACAACTTGTCTCCTAACAGCAAAGAATATGTAACGACAACAACACTTGCTCCTTAGAAATATCTCTATAATTGTTTATCACCGTCTATTGTCATCTTAGAGGAAATATTTTATAATTTATAGCATTTACTTAACTGTATTCTTTACAAAGATCTGGCAATATTAATTAACTCTGCATATACATGCATTCTTCTTTTGTTCTTCGTTGAAAATTCGTGACTTTGGTGATTAAAAAAGTAAAATTACTTAGTGTCATAGATATAACTACTGATTTTTTTTATGTTCAAAAAAATTTAGACCAATGACTTTTCTTCATTATTTATTTTATCAAATTTACGGGAAACGGTTCCTATACAAAAATTTATAAAATAATTCAAAGTATAACAATGTAAAACAAACAAAAAAACTTGAATATTAAATAAATTTTTGTATAGTGTTGCTTTAAAGAAACTTATAATTCCAAATGAGAAATATTAATTTAGATCAAAAGCGACTACTTTCACGATGTCACCTAGAAATTCAAGAATTCCTGGAAATTTTCACGGAATGGTCCAGAAAATGGACAGTACACACGTTACATGCAAGTAATTCGGAAAATTAGAGCGAGTGAGTAGACCACTGTGTTTTATTGGTTTGTCTTTTAATACCAATTGTTTATTACAACAATTTGTCGATATTAAAAACGAATGAAACGATCCGGACTTTGAATCAGCCACTTGTCTTAGCAACCAAGATAGTCTCGAGCATACTAATTCGAGATTTTAAGGAAGGGGTGGCTTCAATCCAAATTCAACTTGTCGAATGTACTGTCTTACTTTTAGACACATTATCTCTACTCATTTTATCGGTACGCGTCAACGGGGTACCGTTAAAATAGAAGAAACTCATTCCTTCATCGATTCGAACAAGAATGGCTCACATAATAGAGATACAGATTCATTGGCTGCTACTGCAAACAATTTACTTGATGCATTTGAATTAGCGGAAATGCAAAAAACAAAAAAGCCCTTACAGACAACTGTTATGATGAAAACATTTTTACCTATAGATTCAGCGGAAATAGTAGACTTGGAAAACAAAGGCTGTATGAGAGGAATGCTATCACCTACTTCAGTAGTTACACGGCTAAAAGTGATTTACGAAAGATCAAATGTGATTGTGACAAATTTTTTAAGAAATATCAAGATTAGCAAGTCACGGATAAATAACTTTATACAAAATGTAGAGAATACGAACATACCAATGAAACAGTATCAGAAATAACGTATTTAGCAAAGCCTAGAAAAATTTTTTCAACAATAATTTCTTGTCAGTTACAAGCTTTTTAATAACATCATACGAGTCTTTAGCTTCAAAGAAAACAGTTGTTTCTTTGGCTGAGGTAATGGAAAAAGTGAAAAGTGAATTAATATTTTCCTAAGTGGTTAAATAAAAATAATGCATGTCATGAACATCATATTGAAGACTAAAAAATTTTGTTAAGATTAAAAGTATTTAAAACTACTAGAAATAATAATCAAAAAAGCAAAGCAGAAGCTGAAAAAAATATTAAAACTCATAACCGTAAAATGCTTATCTTAAAAAACATTTAAAGATTTAATCACTGTTAAAAATTTCGTACTTTATTTGTTTCCGTAATATTAATTGGAATATCAATTTCCACAGTGAATCGTGTAACAAAAATGCAGCAATCGTAAGATATAAGTACGTATAAGTCTAATAATTTGATAAATATCTTATTCTGTATCATCATTGTATGTTTGTAAAAGTTCTTAAATTTTTGTTTGCCATATTGCAATTCAAACTGTTTTATGTATTGTGATACGTTATAAATGCTATTGAGGTGTGAATATTAAGATTTTGTAGACTATAGTCAATATTTTTAAAATAAGGAGAAAACAGTGTGCATCTAACTAACAAAAAATCTTTACAAAATAATTTCTTATGATTTTTACACTTTCAAGTTAATAAATTTCAGAATTCTTTTATATCCCTAATGCTAAAGTAGTATATTTACTACTTTTATGTATATTTACTACTTTTAGAAATGTACAAACTAAATTTCGCTAATTTGACATAAGTAAATCTGACCAATTACACTTTTAAAGATTGTTTAATGTCCTATATTTCCATAAAACAAAAATGAAATTTGCTTTTTTAAAATGATGACAATGAAATAACTACTTTTTTTTAAAGTATACTTCCGATTTTTTTCTTTGACAAAGCGTAAAATGTACATTCCACGTTTGACATGAAAAAAAAAAAAAAAAAAAAAAAAAAACATGAACATAAAGTTTTTATTACATTTTATCGCTTACAATTCTGTATACTTTGAGTGCTCTAGCTACTAATGAGTCAGGTGCTTAACACACTTTTGTAAAAGTACATTAGCATGTATTAGTTTCTACTGCAGTTGATATTTTTTTGTATGATCAATAATCTGATATTTGTTACAAATGACTCAAGTGTCTTTTCGAATTTTTTGGAACTTTTTATTCAATAAGATTGAAACAGCATATGGGATACATGAAAAAAATCAGAATATCATTTATACAAAAAATTGTAAGCTGTTGTAGAAACTAATGTATGCCGATGTATTTTTTAAAAAAGCGTTTAGCACTTAACTTATTAGTAGCTAGAACATTCAAAGTAAAAAGAAACGTAAGCAATAAAATGAAATGAAAAGGTTATGTTCATGTTTTTTTTTGACGAACGTGCAATGTACAACATTTTACGATTTGGCACAGAAAAATCTCAAAATAATTTTGTTAAAAAGTGTAGTTTCTTCATTGTTATCATTTTAGAAAAGCAAATTTCATTTTTAGCTTTTTTAAAAAAAAGAAGATTGAGCAATGCACTTTTTTTAAAGTGTAATTTGTCAAACTTACTTAAATTAGAATAGCAAAATTTGGTTTGTACATTTCTAAAAAGTAGTAAATATACTACTTTAGCAGTGATAAAAAAAATTCCTGAATTTATGAATTTGAAAGTGTAAAAGTCATAAGAAATTACGATTTTTTAACATAGTATGCCCAACAGAAAACATGTAAATTGTGTTATAAGCATTAAATTACGAATTAACGTAAATATGTGTAGGTCTACAATTATAATTATATGTATATATTTATGTAAATGTCTAAATTGTATTTGTGTACTACATTTGTAAAACAGTATTTTAATAAAGTAAGTGTTTTTGTGCCGATGATTTTTCTTTCGTAAGTTTTGATGGTTTTATTTCTTTCCACATCGCATTCAACCCAAAAATACTTTTCAGTTTCTCATGACGACTACACAGTCGAAGACTCGCTTATTGCCAATTGATTTTTCAAGTCGTTTTCATATTATTATTAAAAACTTTTTTGATAGCTGAAGAATATCTTTGACATTTTATAAAGCTAAAATTTTTCGCACACTTTTGAAAATTTTATGTTAAATGATTCATAATTTGTGCCTGACCTATTTGTATACATTTAATTACTTGATGTAACGTAAATTACAAATAATTATCAACTCATTGGCAGTGTCAAGGTGTTCCACGTATGTTTTTTGCAGCTGCACAATCA